TCTCCCTGGATGGAACAAGTAAATGTATATTTACTTTTAACCAGCATTCATTTCTAACTAAACATATACTTATTTTTAAAACTTCATTTCAAATACAGTGAGGAGAAACTCTGCTGTTTTCCTAGTTTAAAGCATTTGATTTGACCTCCTAAGCAAAAGATCATAAATCAATACAAATATGAAAGGAAAAGAGGTGTTTGAGAGTAATGGCCTTTCTCAGTGCTGAACATTCTGATATTTTGAAGCATACTTCTGTTTTATCCATCTATTTAGCTGCATTTCCAAGTCTCATATTTTCACATTATGTATCTTATTATTTACTATTTTTGAATATTAAATAAACTGTTTTACCTAACCTTATTGGGAAAAGGAATTTTGATTGAATTATAAATGAAAAATAATACAACTTTACATAAATGGAAAATATATATTAATTTATACTGATATGTATTCATAAATACTATTATTTTATTAAAGAGCCAACAGTTTAGCACCAGGTGGGCATCCACATGATTTTGGAAACACTGTCCTGAATTGAAAGCCTCAGTTCTTGATTGTTAGTAATTTATTGACATAAAACAGAACTTGTTTGCCTAAGTGAGAAAAGAAAAATAATCTGAATCTGTTTGTTTTCATCTATTTTGGAATCCCTGAGGGCTAGTACTTTCTCTTAATATCCTATGAAATGTTTAGGATCATTCTGTGTGCATACAGTCCACTCTACCAGATGGCATTTGATGATTGTGTTTGTCTTCAACATGGACAGAAAATTAGTTTAGAGATTTGCTCCCTTTGAAAATTTCTTTAAGTGTCTAAGAAATTTGCTTATTTAAATAACGACTGTTGTGTCCTTATTGATTCCTCTGATAAATTGGTGACTCAAATTCAGATACATTTGTTACATGATCTTATGGAGTTGACTAGAAAGAGAAGGTGCTTTGCTTTTTAAAGTTATTTTTCAACCTTCAAGCAATAATGAAAGAAAGATCTAACTTATCCTAATCATGTTTCTAAACATATATCAGTAAACCAAAGGCCAAATTCCAGTACTCTTTTTTAATGTAATTTCTTAATTTATATATGACAAAAGAATGCATTACAATTCTTATTACATATATAGAGCAAAATTTTTTAATCTCTGGTTGTGTACATAGTATACTCTCACCAATTCTTGTCTTCATACATGTACATTGGATAGTAATGATCATCACATTCCACCATCATTAGTTACCCAATGCCCCCTCCCTTCCCCTCCAACCACTCTGCCCTATCTAGAGTTCCTCTATTCCTCCCATGTTCCTGCTCTTTATCGGTACTTTCTAAGGATTCACAGTAAACATTTCTCGTTCTTTAACCTGAGGCTAATGGACAAATAAAACCAAGTAGGTGTATTCTGCAGCCATCCCAGCCATGCAATTCCTCAGACTCACAGGTAGTCCCCCCCTTGCCCCCTGCTGCATGGCCTTTGCCCTTGCTGGATCCTCTGCCTATTCTTTTCCTTATCACTTTCTCTCTCAGCTACTTCAAAGATCAACAAAAGTTCTCATTTTCAATAAACCTGCTCCAATCACTTTTATATAAAAGGGAAATCATCTCCCTGCCCTCCATTTTATGTTCTTCCTGAATCAAATTTTAGTACTGTAAGCATCATTGCTTCTGTGGCCTCTTCCAATTATTCCTTTTAAGAATTATTTCTCAGAGCTGGGGATGTGGCTCAAGCAGTAATGCACTCGCCTGGCATGCGTGCGGCCCGGGTTCCATCCTCAGCACCACATACCAACAAAGATGTTGTGTCCGCCAACTAAAAAATAAAAAAAAAATTAAAAAAAAGAATTATTTCTCCCCTTCAGATATTATCAAATAGTGATATATGTTGTTTACACAACACCTAATGTACATAATAGATTTCAAACTCAGATGTATATCATACCACTCCTTTTCAGGTTTTTGATAGAGAAATTATGTATTCTTCTTAATTACTTTATCATTTGTTTCAGACCCTGAAATAAAAATAAAGGACTTGCTGACAGAGTCATAGGAAGAAAATCATTAAATAAGAATCTTATTTTAAATCCTGGGTTTTTAAATGTTTTTTAGGGGCCCAACTTTATTTAAGAATGAAGCATGCATAAACAATAACAATAAATAAATAGTAGGAAGATCAGTAAAGGAAAAGAAAAGGAACAAGTGGAAGAAGGAGAAAAGGAAAAGTAGAAGTGGTGGAAATTAGAATGGAACAAATTATATTCCATGTATGCATGAATATGCCAAAGTGAACTTCACTAGTATGTAAAAATTATAATGCACTGACAGAAACATTAAGATAATTAAAAAATAAATGGGTGTAGTTCTGCATGCCTATAATCCCAAATACTTGGGAGACTGAAGCAGGAAGATAACAAGTTCAAAGCTATCTCTGTAATTTAATGAGACCCTCATAAACTTAGTGAGAACCTGTCTCAAAATAAAAAATAAAAGAACTGAGGATGTAACTTAGTATTAAAGTGTTCTAGATTCAATCCCCTGTTCAAATAATAATAATGATAATAACAATAATAATAGTACAAATTGACCATTTATACTGTAGGGTTTAAAAAATAATGAAGAATGAATAATGTTGATGTACTCTTAATAGCCTGAGATACTTAAATGGTAAACTGAAAAAAGCACTTCACTTTACCTCAGAGATTGAAATCCATTAACAGCACAAAATAAGGACATAAACACACACACGCACACACACACACAAAAAAAAAAATTATATAAAATTCACAGTACTTTTATTCTACAAAAGTTTCTTATTTAAGTAGATCTTATACTTTAAAAGATTCAACATAAGTCTGGACTTGTAATTGTGTACACAAAACTATCTTGTTTCAGAATGTGTTTCTTCTGACTTTCATATAAACGTAAGATGATAATTTTTTCTTCAAGGGAAAAAATATCTATACACTAACAAGCAAAAAAGAACAACTGTAACAGAACAAGTAAATATGTGTAAAAGGGAAAAATAACAGAAAATATTCAGTGTAAACTTTTTAGTGATAAATACAGTCTCTAGACATAGCATAGTCCAGTGTTTTTTAAATAATCTGGCTGAGTATCATTATTTGTAGTTCTACTTTATCTTTTTTGCTAAGAGTAGAAAAGAAGAGAGAAATAGTAAGAATTTACTATCAGTTCCATTGAGTAAAATTTTTTTAAAAAATTGTCGTGTGTGTGTCTACAAGGATGCAATAGCATTTGGAAAAAAATTTAATTATACCAAGAAATAATTATTTTTTATTTTTTATTTGCTTAATTAAAAACTGAGCATAGTTAGGGTACAAGGGAAAAGGGAAACTGGGCTGCTAGTAGAGTGGCTGTTACTACAGCCCACAAGGAGGATGGCATTAGGGAAGAATTTCAGATACAACCATATTTACATATTTTAGACAGAGCCAAGGGAATTTGCTGATGAGTTCAATTGGAGGATAAGAGGGAGCTTTCAGGTTGAGAATAGGAACCCTGAGAAAATAGGAGGATGGAGTTGCAGCTCTTAACCAAGATGATGAAGCAAGGAAAGCAACAATTCTTGTTTATCTGTTATTCTGCTTTGCATTTTGAAGCTGGTTAGTGGCAGAGACGAAACGATTTGAAAGAATTCCCCACAGCAACCTGTCTAATTTCCTGCCAACTTCAGGGAAATGTCTTTCAGGAGAGAGGTGATATCTCCACCTGATCAATAACATATATGTAAAATTCATCTAGAATTTATTGGATATTTCTCCTCCCCCTAGGGACATGCTCAGACAAATCCCTTCTACATCCCTCATATATCATCCAGATTACCTTCATCCATGACTGCATAAGGTGACTTCAATGGCTTATTTGAAAAAGAAATTATTGAATGCTTTAGAAGGCCAAACCCTAAACTCTATTGCTACAGAATTGGATGTTTGTTTATATTTTGGCTGTGGAAATACAAAATTCAACATCAAGATAAAAGCTATAGGTTTTATCTTCTTTAACTTAAGTAAAGAAGAGAAGAAAATAAAAGCCAATGTTTATTGAAAGTTTACAAGGTGCCAGATGTTAGTCTGTAGGCCTTGATATTTGTATGTTTGTGTGTGTGTATATATATATATATTTTTTTTCAATTAAACCCCTCAAAAATCTATTAATATTATTATTGTTATAGACCTCCTATTACAGTTGCAATTGGGAGACAATCCTAAAATTCCTAAGTGAAACTTAATTTTGAAATCAGACTCTCTGATTCCTGATTCAGGATACTTAACGCAAGTTTTACCAGTTTAAATATTTTCTTGATATACTTTGAGCAGAAAAAAATTGCTTAAATATTTTAACACTATAATCTTCACATGTCATTTAATACACTTATTTAAATTGCAGAGATAGGACTGGGGATGTGGCTCAAGCAGTAGCACGCTTGCCTGGCATGCATGTGGCCCGGGTTGGATCCTCAGCACCACATACAAACAAAGATGTTGTGTCTGCTGAAAACTAAAAAATAAATATTAAGATTCTCTCTCTCTCTCTCTCTCTCTCTCTCTCTC